GATGGATGGATGGATGGATGATGGATGGATGGATGAATGATGGATAAACGGATGGATAAACGGATGGACGGATAGATGGGTGGACAGATGGATGGATGGATGGATGGACAGATGGATGGTCGGATGGATGGATGGATGGACGGATAGATGGATGGATGTTGGATGGATGGACAGATGGATGGAAGAATACCTGTGACATTTACACACAAACACACACACAGGGAGCACACATGCCATACACCAGCAGGGAGCGCAGTGGAGCAGATGGAGGTCTACTGACCCGGAGAGAGGACCTCACAGACACCACACAGGTCCACGGAGCACTAGTTGAACATCACTGACTGTTCTTTACAAAAAAAAGTCAAATTGACCAAATATCACTGCTTTAACTAGTATGAAATAAAAAGTATTAACAATATTATTAACATTATTATTAACAATATTATTAACATTATTATTAACATTATTATTATTGTTGTTGTTGTTGTTGTTGTTGTTGTTGTTGTTGTTGTTGTTGTTGTTGTTGTTGTTGTTGTTGTTGTTGTTGTTGTTGTTGTTGTTGTTGTTGTTGTTGTTGTTGTTGTTGTTGTTGTTGTTGTTGTTGTTGTTGTTGTTGTTGTTGTTCGCTCATCACCAAACATTCATCTCAAGTCATAGTTTGGTTGTTTCCTCCTCTGTCGCAGCTTCTCTCCACTCTGTCCTGGTGTCTCTCTCTCTCTCTCTCTCTCTCCTCCAGCCACAGATGAAACTTTGAACGTTTCAGCTGATCAATGAGACAGTTTTAGTGAAACATCAGACCATAAATGTCCTCAAACCAAACTGCTGACGTGACTGTTCACATTTATACATGTATTGATTGATTGATTGATTGATTGATTGATTGATTGATTGATTGATCTCCACACGTTTTTCCGTTTGTTGTCTTGAGTTTGATTTCATCCAAACACTCACTTCTAGAGACTAAAACCAACTGGGTGAAAATCCGTCCAGATGTGGACGGATTCTACGTCCTGTTCAGTGTTCTGATGTGTGTGTGTGTGTGTGTGTGTGTGTGTGTGTGTGACTTCATTAAAGCGGCCTGCGCTCCTCGCTCATTTAATTACCAGAGAAAAGGTTAGTGCCACAACGCAATTTACCAAATGTGATTTCTTAGCAGCTATTAACTGTGCGTGGGTGCAGTGTGACAGAGGGGGAGGGGCTTTGATCCTGCTCAGTGTGTGTGTGTGTGAAGCTTCACACACACACACACACACACACACAGCTCTACAAATCTGACAAAGTTCACTGGCAGAGATGAAGAAGGAAATCTGTTTGTGAGAATCTAAAACTCCAGGTACAAAAAATTACTG